TTACAGAATACATTTTAGGGCATGTATTCTGTAATCTGTAATGGAATACATTTTAAAAGTAACCTTCCCAACACTGATCACGGCTCATACAGATGCTTTTGTAATATTCTGCCAGCAGTAGTCCAGTATATGCTCTCAGATTTGATATCATATACGCTAATGTAAGGAGCATAAACTGTCCTTTATTCTGCATGCGTGTAAATTATGATAATGTAAACAGTGAAGTGAAAGCGCTTTGCATGTGGCCCATGGCAGAGATCAGCAGTGAGTGATGGTAATGCTCCGAAACATAAACCCAGAGCTCCTCTGCTTTCTTGTCTGACCAGGACAGAAAGTTTAAAGATTTCAAATCACAGTTACGGGTGATGCACAAGGAGTCATGGGAGTCATGGCGGTCTGCGTCTTTCTGTTACTAAAGTGAAAGTCCTGTCTGGTCACCAAAGGGCAGGGCTCGGTGCACATAATGACGCTCTTATCTCTATGTGGAAACCAAAGCAAACAAAAGAGGCAGCGGCGAACAGACTCACGTACTCCCTGAGGAGTTATGTCAGATGGACACTGATGCATTCACTCCCTGTTTGAGTAGCAGTTGCTGGATTATCTGGGCGCGGTGCTGATGTCATGTTTTGTTCCATGCATACACTTCTCTGCTTCTTCAGATTCCTTTACTTCTGTTGTCATGAATCATTTCTCCAGTCGGCCTATCTGAAGATGCAAAATCACCTTAACGTGCACGCGCTCTGCAGCTAACCCAGAACTTTTTCTCATCCTTGTTTGTGACAATCAGCATGAATGAGCGCGAAGAAAAACAAAGCCCATTTGTTTGACAGGCCTCTTCCTCCTCACGTATGAAGTCATTCCTCTCCATGTGGTATCGGAGAAGAAGCTCTAGCCAAACTGAGGTCATGAGAAGGTTATTTTGATTGGATGCCATAATTCCCACACCCAGAATGAAGTCATGTGGTGGGATTCTGTGAGGAAGAGGTTTGTTATGATTTCAATCTGTACACAGAATGCCCGGAGGACGGTGGGCCCGTCAGGGCGCTATGGGCTGTGGTTGTTATGAAACATGTGGGCTGGTGGAAGTAGCTGCCATTCCTGTACGATGTGATCAGAGCGAATCGCACTCACGTCTGATAAATACAAGATGGGTGATAAAATGTTGCTATAAGATGTCAACTTCATGACCCAGGTGGAAGCAAAAGTCTTGGTTTGAGGTTTAATCGAGGCAAACGTAGGCAGAGAAGATAACATGACATCTGCACTGTATGATGTTACATACCAGACTCTTTATGTAAGCCTTTCATATCTCCATTTTTCACACCGGTCTTTCCCATCCAACGGTCACGGCTGTCTTCACATCACTCCACCAGCATTAGCGAGTCTCTCTTCACTTCTACTTCTTCTGCTCAGGCGTCACCTCGGCTCTCCCGGGTCGTTTTTAGGTTTGGCCTCGCTGAAGGATGCTGATGAACTGTCCAAGCAAAGTGAGATTAGGCTGAACTGAGAAAACAGAGAACGTTGTATTCTGGGCCTGAAGCCATGAAGAGACTGAAGATGTTTTTAGATGAAGGAGAAAAGACAAAGAGAACGGCACTGATGTGCAAACCTAAGGGCGGGATATGCAGGGGGAAATGCACCAGTCCTGCTTGAAAGCTTTTTGAAAGATTGTAAAATAATCTACAAGACATTTTATAACACAGCTGTGGCTCAGTTATTCAACACTGCCTGGTATAAAGTGACCGAGAGTTCCACTTTATGCAGTCACGTGATTTATGCCAAAACTTTAATCTGCATGGTTTTTTGTTTAAGCTTTCAGGAATGCATTCAAATGACCACAGTGTAAGAAACAAGCTGATGGTTTCTGCATGATCCAAAAAGTGTTGCCCGAAGATTTGAATGACATGTGGCAACACGGAAAGTGAACCTGGAACGCTTAGAACAGGTGAAATTCCCAGAGAAAGCTTAGAGCTACAATAAAAAATATTTTGCCAACTGTGTTTGTGCATAAAATTAAAAATATTTGTTAGGGTTCTGCTACCTGACACATGCACATGAGTAGGAGTCACTTCATGGAGCTCTGGTTCCATGTGCTCCTCCTGTTGCCAGGTTACTGGCCTTCTACGGCCCTGTCCAGCTCTCTTCCTGATATCCTCCACACTATTGTGACTGTGCTGTGAGACACAACAAATCTTACAACAACACAGATGGATGGTAATTCCAGGTAATTCCATGGAGTTCTGGCAGTGCCTCCTGTTTCTCCTCACACAAAAGAGCAGATAGCACTCATGCTGCCGGGTCGATGGCCTTCTACGGCCCCGTGCAGCTTCCTATGGTCCTTCCTATGGTCTGTGGCCTCCATCTGCCAAATCACTCCCTTTCTGCAGGTTGTCTTGTTGCTGCCTCTTCGGTGCACCTGTTGCCACTTTCATTTACACCAAAGCACACGAAGGTTTCTCCTTCTTAACTGAACAGATTGACATCCCTAAAGTTTAGCTGACTTTGAGTGTTATCTTCATTTTATTCAATTTGATTGGTTTGGTTTAGGAAGACAATCTTTGTTAGATTGTTGAACGATTAAACTAAATATGTCTGACAGACCAGCTGAGCCCCTTTGTCTCTAAGCTAACAGGTATTTAGCTGTAGGTACATGTAACAAGAAAGCAAATACATTTACCTTCCAAAATAGCTGCTTTACTCACTGCCACCAATCAAAGACAAACCTCAGTTATTTGTTAAAGGATATATAATCAGATTAACTTCCCTGAAATGACAAGCAAGCTTTCAGTATTTGAATTCACGTAGGAAACCTTTTTACAGTAAGACTGCTCACCAAACATCTTATGGTAAATTATCCAGAAATGGGCCAGCACGTCTCAGGATACCACAAAAATACCGCAGCACATGTATCCCAGGATCACATTCATCGCCACAGGAATTCTTCTGCTGAAGTGCAGCTACTTCTTTCATGTGGTGCTGTATCACAGGAATTCCAGTCCGGCCGATGTTTGGTCTGTCTGTGTTTTTCGCTTCCAAACACAGAAATTGTGACCTGGCCTAAAAACGATAAATGTAACATAATTTTTCTTTCATAAGAACGATGAAAATGACATCACGCTGCTGTTTGAGTCAAACGACTCATCAAAAGACTTCTAGAGCCTTTTAAAGGTGGTTTACTGTAAGCTTGGACGTAGATCATGTTTGACACCAAATTTCAGCTCAGTGAAAACGAAACAACACAAACAGAAAATCAGTCACAGGCGTCACCTTTGCCAAAAACTGGCATTCATGCAGTCTCAGACCAAAGCGACTCTTTAATTTAAATTAAAAAAGTAATAGTAAGACCATAGCACTCAGTGGAATCCAGTGTTGCCATGATAAACAGGGTATTCATAATAGCGTGCATCTGGTTTCACTTTTTGGGCTTTTAACCCTGCTGAACTTGTTACATCACCCGTAACACATCCAGATAAATATAGGGGAATAATACTGACTCAACTGTGAATTATCATCATAACAGAAGTTATTGCTGTACATCTCTTGTGGTTTTTGTGTTTATTGATGTGAGCCTGTGTCTAAAGCCTAAATTGGCTGGGAAATTACATGCTGTTAAGTATTTCTGCCTTTGTTTTTCTTCTCGTGTTCCCATTCTGGTGATGAGTTACCCGCTCAGAAATGTTAATTACTTATGTTTCATTTCCTGTGTTTCCTGATCACACACTATAGAGCTGCATTGAGGAGGTGATTCTCTCACACACCCTCCTGCTCCCAGACTGTAACAATATTCAATAAAGTTTGACTCCAGCTCACACAAACGATTTAAAAAAAGTAATTGATATTTTCTGGCACAATCCAGTTTAAAGTAGTTTCCATAGCAGCAAACGCAGCATGACTCTCACCCACCAACACCGCCACTGGTTTTCTTTCTCAAGGTCAGCCCCAGCAGGAGTCAGGACTGCCAGTCATGTGCCAGACTTTCTGGAGGGGAAGGGTATTTCCATATGAGGCTCAGATGCCCATGAGCCAGCGTGTCTCATGAACAGAGGAGGGAGACTGCAGGGCCACAGGGTTCATTCCAGACAACAGCTGGGCATCACTCAGTGTCACAAAATACTCAGACAATGAATAAATATCCTACAGAGCTCTAATAGAAGAATATAGCCTGCCAATCAGTGGAAAGGATTCAACAAGTTAAGAATGACTCTCCCATCTTTTGCTCTTTTAAAAGCTACATTTGGATTTTTAGGGTTGTAGTTTCTCTGTCAGATCTTATTAAGAGAAGAAATGGTGTAAAATTAGGACTACATGAACCACCAGGTGCCACTGTGTGCGCTGAAATGTCTCCCTCTTCTGGCGAAGAGGCGTCATTCATCAACACCAGCCGCCCTGTCAAGGGCACAGTGGAGCCCCGCCTACTTTAATTTGATTGGGTGATACCGGTGTTCGACGAAGTTTATTGGATATCTGGTCGTCAATACGATGACGAATAAGGAAATTCAAGGAAGAGAGCACCGCCGGTGACAAACGTGGGTAAACTCCTGTGTGTTTTCAGTCTCGTGTACTCGTTGTGTGTCATTGTCATTTTTATCTCGATTTTTGGGCAAAACGGTCACGTGTTTCGTGTAAATTGGCGGTTTTCCCACGAGCTCTGCGAGCTGCATTTTAGACAGCAAGCTAACATTAGCTGCAAATGTTAGCTGCTGTGTTAAGAGTGTCACAGCAGAGTCAGCTGTCAGCTTCAGAGTGGAGTTCATTAGTCCAGGTTTTCAGCTCCAGTTTCTCCTCCTAAGTAGTGGATTTACGTGACGTTGGGCGTCACAGTGAACGTGTTTTCATAACGTGGAGAACGGCACATAACTGCGCGTGTTTTCATTTAGTTTTCTGCTCAAAGGCCACAAGAAGGCGCACGAGACACGGAGAAAAAACCTGGTGTGCACCTGCTCCCACAGGTTTTTGGAGAGTTTCTGTAGTTTTGTCTCTGTTCCACCAGCACAGTGGATTTTAAGAATTATAATATCACGGTGTGGTTGAAGTGCAGGATTTCAGCTTTAATTCAAGGACGTTTTATACATAGTCCCTCATTTTCAGAGGATCTAAAGTAAATGGACAAACTAAAAAAGGTTAAGGGTGAATATTAGGAGTTCAAAGTGCTGGAGGCTAGACATCATGGACATCACTAGGTGCTGTTTCCTGCTTGAGATGCTCTGCAGGCCTTTAGTGCAGCTGCTGCCTGTCTGTGAGCCGCTCTGCCTTTTAGTTTTGATTTATTTGACTGATAAGCTGCTCTCCTGGGCTCAGCTCAAGTGACTGGCTGATTGTAGAATACCACATTTCTTTGCCTTGAGAAACTTTGCAGTTTGCTTTGGGCTATTATCCACCTGCACTGTGGAGCTCTGTCTGATCAGCTCTGCAGCACCTGTCTGAATCTGAGCAGAGAGTATAGCCTTGAACACTGCACAGTTCGTTCTGCTGCTTCTGTCAGCAGTCAGATCATCACAGAACAGTGACCTGTCATACATGCTCATCCCCCGTGTCTGACAGTTGATGTAGTATAAGCTGCTCTTTCCTTTTCCATCATTCTAGTAAAATCCACTCTTTGTATCATCTGTCCAAAGAGTTTACTTTTAGATGATTTTTTTGAAGTCTAATCTGGTGTTCCCCCATTGGCTGTAACTCAGGAGGTCCTTTAGGTCTGGCTGAGCTGGTCAGTGCATTCATTTTTTTAGTTTTGGTTTTTTTATTTCATTTTTTTTTCTCTGTGATAGGTTTATGTGGGTTCTTTGCCTCCTTCACTTGTATCAACATCTTTTTGGACTTCATATTCAGAGTTCCAGTGGAAAAAGAACCAAATACAAGTTCAGTACTAGGACTCAGCTCCTGGTCTTTTATCTGCTAAACATGCCACCAAACTGTAAAGAAACAGGTGTCACCTGGTCATGAAGCACTTTATAAGTCCATGGTTCAGTTGAGCTGAGACTGTGTAGAAAGATTTCTGAAGCTAAAGTGTGCAGGTCAATCACATCTTGATTGTTTGATTTAAAATTCCCTGTGGTGTTGTAGGGAAGCATTAAAACATCATTAAATTATTATTTTTTTGCTTTGTTGATTTTCACTTGTTTTAATTTGTTACTTTTTTTACGTTTAGTTCTTATTTTATTTGTCCAGATTGGTCTTGACCCTATTAATATATTAGTTTTATCATATTTTATGGAGCTATTCACCTTTCCACTTGTTGTTCCTCTAGTCGGTTGTTTTATGTTTGTTTTTGGGTTTTTTATTGTAGCTGCTGTAACAAAGGAATTTCTCATTAATACTGTGAGATTGTGTTTTTCTTTGCTGAGGAGGCTCATCAGTCACAGTTAGTCTCACAGCTTTCTGCCTTTGTTTCTCACAGCCTTCTCCCCAGTGATGGCTGCCTCGGGGAAGCTGGCGTCCTTCCGCCTGCCTCCCCTGCCGACTGTAGGTGAGCTCATAAAGCTGTACAACCTGCGAGCAGAGAAACAGCTGTCCCAGAACTTTCTGCTGGACCTGAGGCTCACAGGTTAGTCGTCCAGCATCTTCTTTTCTTTCTTTCATTCCTCCTTCTTCTTTTGCCCCGTCTGCAGTGCACCAAGACCCTTGAGGTCCTTCTCAGGGTACAGTAGTGTGTTACATGCACTTGATTGCACGGTGCTGCACCGCCTTGTTTGAAGGCATCGAAACCGACAGGCTTTCTTTGTAGGTGAGGTTATGTAGATCTCCTGCTAATGCGAATGGACCAGCTCAGTTGTTGTAGCCCTTGAGAGCTGAGCCTTAACACAATTATCAGCGATGCAGCGCAGCTCTGATCTGCTCTCTCGTCCTTGGACAAGGTGACTGTTAGATTAATGCTTTTCATCTTCATCACACGGAGGAGAGCAGATATTGCAGCATCACACTCGATTAATCTCAATTTGGACGCCCGACTCTCTGATGAAAACATTTGATTGAAGAACATCTTATAATTTATAGGCTGCACGAATTGAGAATGTATCCCAGGAAATTACTATAAATGAATATTGAGTGCGCCCTCTCTGTATTCTCAGACAAAATAGTGCGCCAGGCGGGCAGCTTGAGAGACGCCCACGTGTGTGAGGTGGGGCCGGGTCCTGGAGGCCTCACCCGTTCCATCCTCAATGCTGGGCCCGCAGACCTGCTTGTCGTGGAGAAAGACTCGCGCTTCATCCCCGGACTGAAGGTGAGCAGAAAAGCCGGATCCAGGCTGGCTGAACGAGGTCACTCGGCACAAACGGCACAAACGTCCTCGCCTGCAGGAGCCGGCTCCCTCTCTTTGCAGCTGTGGCCGCTTCCAGAGTGACCGATGAGTCCTTTTATTCTTTTTAAAATGATTGTTACCTGTTTATTGTTTCCATTCGCACAGCTGTTGTCTGAGGCAGCACCGGGCAGGCTGAGGATCGTCCACGGCGACATACTCACCTACAGACTGGATCGAGGATTCCCAACAAATATCTCTAAGCCATGGGAGGGAGGTAAGAGGATGAGCGTATGTAAGCTGTTACGGCAATCAAACTGAGGGAAATACGTGTGACTAAAACGTGTGTGTGTGTATCCTCACAGACCCTCCAAACCTTCACATCATAGGGAATCTCCCATTCAGCGTCTCAACCCCTCTGATCATCAAGTGGCTGGAAAACGTAGCGAACAGAACGGGGCCCTTCACGTTTGGACGCACCGGACTCACGCTCACTTTCCAGAAAGAGGTGGCAGAGGTGGGTGAACTCCACATGACCCACATACACCCTAAATAAAGTCAAACACCCGTGTTTGCAGATTTCCTGAGCAATCGTTACTCTGTAGACATTTTTATTCATTTCATTCTTATTTTATTGTTGTGATTTAATATTGATTCATAATTAAAAATACTTTGCAGCTGAGATGAACAGATTTGGGATGGGCCTTTTTGATTCAGGCCAACAGGCTTTATTGATGTTTGCTTAATTCTTCTCCGTCTGTGATGCAAAAATCATCTTTAGGACACGTTTAATATGCTTCAGTAACTTTCAGCAGTTGTTTTTTCCATCCAGAGGTTGACGGCCAGCACAGGCAGCAAACAGAGGAGTCGTCTTTCCATCATGGCTCAGTATCTCTGCACTGTCCACAACTGCTTCACCATCCCCGGACGGGCCTTTGTCCCCAAACCAGAGGTAGTTTGTGACACTGAAAAGACCTCATCAGTTTAATTACTTTAGAGCTGGATAAAAAGGTTTTGTGTAGGCGTTTGGCAAAGCACATCTGATTCTTGACTTTGTTCCTCGTCCAGTTTGTGCACCAGCTGCTCGGATTAGGCTCTGCTTCAAACTGTAGTGGAATATTTTCGGTTTGTTTCAAGGTGCTGTTGAAGTTTGTGCTGATAGTTACGGTTTATTGGGAAAAGCTACAGCGAGCATTCAGATCCCCGCGTGCACACCCTCGGGGGTGATGCTGGGAAAAGATTTCTTCTTTCAGAGCAAAATGAGAGAAACAGTAAAGTATGTAGTAATAATAATAATGTTGGTATTAATCTTCAATATCGGTGACGCTCCAGCTTTCATGATGTCAGCAGGACCCCACGGTGCCACGCTCCGGTCAGAGCCCTCATCATGTCACCCTGGCTCATCCCTCCACTCTTTCTTCTTGCTTTAAGGCTTCATTAAGACTGTGTTGAATCAGTGTTGTCTCACTTCTGTCTTTGGACCCTTTTTTAGCTCGTAATGATGCCTGGTGGGTATTTGAGATGAGGCACGATCACACTGTGCCTTGTAATGAGGGCCTTGTTCTTTTTTAGGCCCTTTCTGCATCTTTCCACCCGTGTGCGAGCATCAGGGCCGAAAGCAAGATCAGCTTCGGTGTTTAACGTAGGACCAGAGGTGATGCACTAAATAAAGGATCAACGCTGGCTAATACGCAGCTGCAGTTTATTTTAAATCGCACACATTCGAGTGTTTTAGAAAACTCAAGAGCTCGTTTGCATCTTTTGTACAAATGAAGCCTTTTGTTCTTTCCCAGAATTAAAGGATAGGTGTTAGGTGGATGTCAGAGAGAGACTGCTGGTCCCTCGAAGATGTCCTGGCTCTTTAGGAGACCCGCTGACGGTAAATATTTAATCTCCCGTGTGGAGTAAAATGCAGCCGAGTGAATGGGACCAGTGCTGATTGCTCATTCTCTTAGAAGAGATGGATTCCAATGATTATTTCATCGCACTCAGCTGCCTTTCTGTGCATTTGTTCCTCCAGAGCATTTTATTTTTGTGTGTATGTCAAAGTGGAGCTTAATGGGCTTTAGCAGGCTTTATCTTTTGATGTAATATGCTCATATGGTATGAATACATTTGAACTGGGGAAGCTTCATGCTACACATGCGTGCAGATGAATCCGCGCCTCCCACGTGCCCACATGGGCCATCTATCCCTACTAAATGTTTTAATGGGCTCTTGGTCGAATTGGTGCCATTAGGAGAGATGATGGCTGTTTGATGAGCAGCCCTCCTGCTGCTAGTGTCCTATAAAAGACCAGGAACAAGAGCACACAGAGTAGATGAAGTCTATCGTGGTAGTATGTCATGTAGTATAATTCATAAAAAGCTCAGTGGCTCTGCTTTGTTTACTGGTGCACACCAGAGTAATTACGCAGGAAAGCATGAAGAGTAAAAATGTCCTTCCGTGGTTTACAGGACATCAGAGGACCGACTGAGGTTGTCACACACGGGAATATTGACATTTTCCTGCTAAACGGGAGAAGTAACCGAGATATTGTAGATGTTGAATATACAGGAAGAAAAATGTCTCATGACATATGCTGCGTGCATTAATTGTTATGGTTGCTGTGCAGAGTGTTGGTACTGTACACTGCTCACAGGGCTCCTTATGAAGATGGCGATGGCTAAATACCCCCTTTGTAGAGAGGAACTAATTATACTGGTGCTGTTAGACTGCCAAGTACCAAAGGTCTGCCTCTGTGTCTCTTTCTTCACTTTGCATGAGCCTTTTTGCAGACGTGTGTGCCAATCATTGTTGGGATTATTCTGCAGCGATGCTAAAGCTTTGTACAGGACAGTAAAACAAACTACACGGCAGCAGGTGCCGTGCACACATGGCAATTAGTGAAGTGTAAAAAAACAAAACAAAACATGTGAAGTGGTTTAATACTGTGAGATCAAACGAAGCGAGTCCCAGAGAGCCGCTGAAAAAGCAGCGAACCTTTCCAAATAACCACGATGAGAAAATAGCATCACTTCAAGGCGAAGGGGGGAGGGGAACGTGGGTTGATTGGCCGGCTGATTTGAACGTAGAGGAGGCCGAGTATTGCAGGCTGATGGGGTAATGAGAAAGGAAATGTTGAATCCGTTTTACATCAGCGGCTGCGGGG